TTCCGCCCGCTCCGCCCCGCCCCTCCACGCCTCCAGCCCTCTGTGCTCCTGGGGCTGGGAGGGCTTGGCTGCCAGGTCCCCGCTCCCCCCTCCCTCCAGAGGGCCGTGGGTCAGCGCTGGAGGCCAGCACCTCCGCGGTGGGGGAGGAAAGGGCAGGTGTCTCACGTCCTTTGAACTGTTAAGGTTGACCTCAGGGTGTTTGGAAACTTGACTTTAGTTTCCTAAATCTGTACCTGCGCACAGATCTTTATTTTCAGAAAAGAAATGGACATAAAGGAAAGAGAACGTGTGTAGGAGAGACTCAGTCTGTCTGTGTTGGGCGGAAAGAACCCAGGACCCACAGGGACCTGGGTCAGGTCCAGCGCCGTTACTGGCCGGCCGTGACCCTGACCCAGACCCGAGCAGGACTCAGAGGGCGAGGTCCGTGGATTTGGATGAAACCTGACCAAATGGCCAGAAAAGCTGCTGTTTTTACTGTAACCAAGGCAACAGGAAACCACGGGCTCACAAGACAAGTGGATCAGCCCAGGAATGCCAAACGCGTAAGAGAAAATATTTCCAAAATTCCATTATTTCCAAAAGCTGGACATAGAACTAGAAATATCTGCTGGCGTGCAATGCCTACCTTCTCTCTTGTGTTCCAGCCAGCTCCTGAGGGGCAGGCCTCTCCCAGCTGTGGCTGCTGCTCCTCCTGGTGCAGGAGGGTGCTTGGGCTGGGACGTTGTTTCTGAAAGCATCTGAGAGCCTGCGGGCACCAAAGGTGGTGAGTCAGCAGGTGCAGCAGCAGAATAAACAGAACCAGGTTTGGCTCACTCAGGGGAGCCCCCCCGGCCCCCCACCACCGACGATCAAACAGCAGCAGGTTTGTGCCACGGGGGCCTTGAGACCTTAGTCCCTGTAAGGCCAAACCCCATAGTCAGGGATGAAGTACAAGCAGCCCAGTCTCCTGAGATCCAAACTAGCCACCTCCACTCATTGGAGCTCATGGGAAAGATGGCTGTGGTCCTTCAGGTCAAGGAAAGGAGATGTAGATACGGGTGGGCAAGCACAGCTTTACAGTTGTTCATGTGGAAAAGATTACAATGAAATCGTAGCGCAAGAACAGGCTGTAGTGCACTCACAACTGTAAAAAGGCATGTTTGTTCAATTCTCTGTGTCGGGGCTATATTTTCCACATATCTCCACAGTGGGAGACACCATTGTAGCCCATACTAGTTAATGGAAGATCAGCATTTTCTTCAGCCTCCTAAACCTGTTTTAATGCAAGCCTATTTCCTCTTACTGATTTCCATAAAGTTTTGGGAAAACAGATCAATATCTCTTTATAAACACCATCTTCATAACAACGAGAAAGTGTTTCACTTGATAACTGCCTTCCAAGTTTCCTCTCTGTTCAGGCCTCACCTTCACTCACCAGGTTTTCATTCTCTTTCCTATAACCATTCTACGGCAGCTTAGAACTTCAGAAAACAAGTGAGTAGAGCCTTCCTGGTTCAAGGGGCGCTGAGTCAAGGTTCCTGGAGCCAACAGGCCATGTTGCTGGGTGTGAGGCCTTGGGGTGCTTGGGCTGAGAGGGGTAGGCGGGGAAATGCTGGCCTAGTCCAGGCGGGAGCAAGGCCGGACACAAGATTCCTCAGGAATGTTATAGGGAAGCTAGTCACATGACCAAGTGATACAATTGTTCTCCTTAACCAGAGCCCAGAGCCCTTAACCTTGAGCTTAATACTTCAAATGCTGAGGTTTTAACCCGAAGGAAAGAAAACATTGGTGTTAAACTGCAGGCAGGTGTTTATGACTTATAATTCTCTATAAAGTTTTAGGGACTTTGTGCCAACGTTTATCTTCAATGAATGTGGTTTCACATCATCTACTGGCATTTCATGTGCTACCTGGACTTGTTCTGAGAGGGCAGGTGAGATTTATGGAACCTGAAGAAACAGGATTATCTTGTCCATGGCTGCGCCAAGACACGAAGGGCTAACTGGGAAAGACAGTGATTGACATGTGTGGTACAGTGGGTATCTAAGAGTGTCACACGCAAGGGACATCACTTCACCCCCGAATCAGAGGGACGAGGAAGTTCCCAAAACCAGTCACTAAGAACTGGATACTAATTAAACAGGAAGGCAAGTAATAAATTACCTGTGCAAAGATATACTTTTAGAGGAAATTGCAAAGTTTAATAATTTATTTTGTACTTTAAGAGGATGTTTATTGATTTTGAGATAGTTTTTTTCTCAAAGACCTAGACACTGATGGGGCATGGAGCATGGAGCATGAACGTGTTTGCCCAGGTTCTGGCCCACACAGCAGGTTCTGACGATGACCCAGCTCTGGTGGGGAAGCCAGGAGGTCTGGGGTCAAAGCCTGGCTCTGTCACCTCCCAGTTATTGGCCCAATGATATTGCTTTGGGACCGAGAGTTACCTCAGTGTCTCGTGGGGAGTGTGAGGGAGCATGTGAGAGTCTCCTACAGCCCTTTCCTGCCTGGGATGACTCCTTCCCCTCCCCCCATAGGCTCTGCTCAGCTGAGGCCTGGAGGGTGTGGGCACCTTTTCCAGGGCCTCCGTCCGCAATATGCTTCTCCTCTGCAGTAGCTTCAGGGAAGTCTGTCGGAAATGTGTTAAAGGAACCCATTTAATATTCCAGGTGAGCAGACGGGTACTAGTTTTCATCCTCAAAACTCCATTTGTTAGGGTCCGGGAATGCCCTCAGGGGTCGGTGACGGGGCATCTGCTTCCACGGGTTGTGAAAGAGCCACGTCAGTTATTAGAACTGTATCCCAGTCTATAGTCAGATGAGGACAGAGTGATGCCCATGGAGCCTTCTCCATCCACCACCTTAACTTCCAGGAAAACGACAAGTGTGCACTGGGGGCAAGGTGCACCTGCGGCACACTCCCACCGTCTCACCGTTCCCACCCTTCCGCTGTTCCCACACCTTCCCAGTGACTCCCATTTCCTTGGGTCAAGGGCAGGTGATCCTCTTACCCCTTCAGTCTCACAGGTCATGGACTCACCTTGGCCAACAGACGGTCAGCAGACAGGAGCTGAGACTGAGCCCTGTGTCTGCCGCCCCCTCTTTGCTCTGCCGGCCCTTTTCCCCAAGGACCGCAGAGTGTGGATGGCAGCTTTATTTTTTTTAATGTTCCCATTACAATTCTAATGTTAATAGAAAGATAGAATATATGCATGCATCCTATTTTCTTTCTATTAATATAGATCCAGAGAGGTTATATATCACCTGTATATGTATATGAAGATTATGAATAAATATAACGTCTGTCAGCACATAGAAACTCCACAAGGCTGGTGGGGACTTCCAGGGACAAGCCCTCAGCAATGCCACCGAGTTCACAGTTTATATTACAAACACCAGGAAACATGGACGCACGGCTGTGTCAGTCTCCGATTGTTGCTGTGACAAATTTCCACAAATGTGACTTAGTGCAAATGTATCACCTTAGTTCTGGAGGTCAGAGATCTACAATGAGTCTCCAGGACTGTGTTCCTCCAGAAGGCTCTTGGGAGAATCTCCTCGGGGGCCTTCCCCTTGTCTAAAGGTTACCCACTCCCCTTGGCTATGGGTCCTTCCTCTCTCACCAAAACCACAGAACAGCATCTTCTCTCTCCTCTGACCCTTTCTTCTGAAGTAAAAAATTAGGTCATTATGTCCATTCCTATATCTTCTCCTTTGAAGAAATCATTTAACTTCTTGGGATTTTGGATCTGTCTTCAGAACAGATATAAACCACTGAGTGCCTACCTTACAAAGACACATGGAAGCGTATTGCAAAATATAATGCTCTTCAAATACAAAGAGGTATTGATCAGAGTGGTAGAAGGCACGCCAAGCACTGAGGAACTAAAGTTCAACTTGAAGTTATGACTTGAGGCAAGAAAGATTGCTCAGCGAGGAGGCAGAGGAAAATGTTCCCGTCGAGCCTTGAGGGTTTGGATGCTCCAGGGTGGGGGGGCCTCGGAGGTGGGAGCAGAGATACTGTTAAGGCTGGAGGTGAAGTTCATGAGCTCGAGGTAGCGGACAGGTCACGGCCAAATGGACAGTCATCGGAAAGATCAAGCCAAATCATGTCAGGTCGCCAAGGCCAGAGAGAGGCACCAGAGTGAGACTGTGGGAAACCCAAGTCAACAGGACACGTCCCCAGTAGCAGGTTGTGAGGTGAAGTGTGATATTGAGGTTCCAGGAGAGTGGGCCACGGCTTATTGGTCATTTGCAGCCACAGGTTGGTTGACTTCAGCCATTGCACACAGGTTGCCAGGGAAGGAAGCAGGGCTGAGGTTACACAGTGAGGTGTTCTCTTGGGGGAGGACCCTGAAATCCAAGGCTACTCATTAGGAGGGAACAACAAACAAAAAATGTAAATATAATGGCAATCAAATCTTATAGACTGAGGAGCCTAAGCCAGAAAACAGCAATTAACATTCTTCATCTGATACCAAAATAGTTAGAAAGTTCTTGTGTTGTTCAGTGCCGTTAACATCTGCCATTCTTTAGAAAAGGCAAACCCTCTTTTATCAGTGATAATGACAGTTTCTTCAGGAAGCAAATGAGTTATTTTATACTTTTGTTAATTACAGAGAAGGAAACATAAATTCTTCGGCTTATTTCCCACGTGTAGATAAAGACTTCTCTATGAACAACTGTAAGGAAATACCACATCCTCAGAGACAAGAGCCTACAGCTTTATGAAAGAGAAGAATTTAAACATGTTTACAAGGCCTGACTTTACAGTAACCACTAACATGCACATGTGTTAGGCTACTTTCTATTCTAAAGTGAAATCCCCAATACATTGCTTGGTAAACCATGGTGTTCACTGGGAATAAGTTTGCATATAGAATCGTGGCCCGGAAGCAATGGAAGCACACCTTAGTCTTCAGTGCAACTGAAAACCTGGTGATCAATCATAAGGTGAAATTTGGGCTGCTTTCCCCAGGCGTGACTGATTTATTTTTAGTATGTGTCCTCTAAAAATAACAGTGGTATTTTCATGAGTTTTTTGTTTTTATAACTGAAATCACAGAGTTGGTTTAAAGTGGTGAATCAGGGCCCAAACCCAGGCCTGTAGAATTCTGAGCCCTTATTTCACTCGGTTCAGCCAAAGACTTTGCTCTGAGGAAGGGAAGAGCCAGGCTGCTAATGTACTAGAGGGGAGCTCTGGTATGGAGTACAGTTCCCCATTAGACC